CCTCACCCTACAAATAGTGAGGGGGAATAAAATAACTAACCTGTAAAAAAAAAATTAAACTTACCATTTGACGTCTTCTTTTTTCTAAAATCTTCTTTCTTCAGCCCCCAAAAAGGCCAAATAAAAATCCATTACACCCGTCGCATTTAAAAAAAAAAAAAATTTATCCAAGTTCACCCTTCGAGGGCACGCCGCATACTGAGCTCCGCAGGGCGGGTCAAGGCTTATAAAGCCTTGCCCCGCCCTGCAATTAGGCTTAGAACACTCTGATTGGTGGGTTTAAGCCAATCAGAGTGCTCTGAGTCATTTTACACAGCGTGGGAAAGTTCTTTTGAACTTCGAAGGGCGAACTTAGATTAATTTTTTTTTGCGCTCGTTTTTTTTTTTTTTTTGAAAGTGCGACGGGTGTAATGAATTTTTATTTGGCCTTTTTGGGGGCTGAAGAAAGAAGATTTTAGAAAAAAGAAGACGTCAAATGGTAAGTTTAATTTTTTTTTTTTACAGGTTAGTTATTTTATTCCCCCCTCACTATTTGTAGGGTGAGGGGGGTAGGTAGGGGATAGGTTTTTTTGGGTGGGGGTGGTGGTGACTAGGGGCTTGGGACCCCTAGTCACCTTAATTGGGGGGAGGTGTTTCATTTAGGGCCCCCACCCACCGCTCAGGGGTGGGGGGGGACAGTAGGTCCCCCCCTTATTGTTTTATTAGGGCCCCCACCCACCGCGCAGGGGTGGGGGCCGGGGGGGGAGGACAGTAGGTCCCCCCCCTTATTGTTTTACTAGGGCCCCCACCCACCGCGCAGTGGTGGGGGCCGGGGGGGACACAGCATGTGTCCCCCACTTATTGTTTTATTAGGGCTCCCACCCACCGCGCAGGGGTGGGGGCCAGGGTGGGAGGACAGTAGGTGTGTCCCCCCCTTATTGTTTTATTAGGGCCCCCACCCACCGCGCAGGGGTGGGGGCCAGGGGGGGCCAGTAGGTCCCCCCATCTTTATTTAGGGCCCCCACGGGCATGGGGGGGGGTTATTAGTGTTTTTTCTTTTTTTACAGTGAGCAGCTATAAGCTGCTCACTGCTTACTACACATGCCCCTACTCGCGGTATAGCGAGTAGGGGCATTTAATTTACTAATACTAAGTAATCTTTACTTAGTATTAGTAAAGTTGGCTGTTAGACCAATTTAGGTCTTTCAGCCTTTTAGTAGATAACTCCCTGATGCCGTGGGAATTAGGGAGTTATCTACTAAGCGGCTGCAAAATGCAGCCACAGCAATGAATAGGATCAGAGTTTCATTCATTAGAATGAAATTCCGATCCGAATAAAGTGCCGAATTGCGTTCTAAAAGAAACGAACATACTGTTGTCATTCAGTTAGAACACAATTCGGCAGTTTTGTGGAAAGTGACAGGAAGCATTGTGGGAACACAGAGGGAAGGTAAGGATCATGGGAAAATTGCTCTGACCAGCGGAAATGAAGCACACTTTGCTCCTCCGCTGGTCAGAGCTGGTCAAGCGGAGGAATCCTCCATAAGGCAAAGAGTCCCGACTTTGTCTTATGATTTTAAAGAAAACTAAAGAAGACAGGAAGAAAAGAATAACAGATCCTGAGAGAGGGGGAGAAGAGGAAGAGATTGAGGAAAGGTAAAAAAATTGAAAAAAAATAGTTTTAAAAAAAGTTGATGTTTCAGTTCTGTGTAAGAATTTTCTCAGGACATGTTTAAAACAAATCAAAGAAGCAAATTTTATTCATAAGAGCAAGAATTAGTTGCTCACCCCACTTGAGCACTTGTCTGAGTGTTCTGGTACCAAGGATGCATGTGCCACAGGCAGGATCCCCCTCACAATCATTTTGAAACCAGGATGTTCTAGCTGGGCATACACATACTGCCAATTAGCTATCTGTGCGTTCCCATATATAGCGGAACGCGTCCTGAAGCTGATCTGGTTGTGATTCATCAGCACCTAATGAAGATCCACGCCATGTATACGAACTGTACACTATGATGTAATGCGCCTTATATTCATTGCTATCACTAGTGTCATGACGCCATGGTTATTAGGAACACTGCATCATGGAATACAATGCGTATGCACAGTGTGGGTCTCCACTAGGTATTGGCAAATCCTATCTACAACAGCTGCAGCAGGATGCATTACGGTATCTATGGGAATGTGCAAATGGCCAATTGGCAGTAAGTTTATGCCTGGGTAGACTCCTGGTTTCAAAATGATTGTGATGGTGCACATGTGGCACATGCATCCTTAATACCAGAACACGCGAACAAGCACTCAGGTGTTGCGTGAGCAACTAGTTCTTGTTCTTATAAATAACATTAGCTTCTTTTTTTTTTTTTTTTAAACATGTCCTGAAGAAAGTTCTTACACAGAACTGAAACATTGATTTGGTGACTTTTTTCATGTAACTTTTGGAATAACAATAAAAGAAAGTTTATTTATAAAGACTACCCTGAAATACTGGTTTAATAAACATATATATATATATATATATATATATGACAAATTATGCAATTGCTACTGGAAGTCTGACAACCAATACAAGTGTCTGCTTGGACAAATGTAAATATTGCTGTTTGACATAAACAGCAAGCTTTTTACATTGAGTAAAAGGTACAGCCTCTGTGC